CTGCGGTGCAATAGTTGGAACCGCATGATGCTAGTCAAACTGTATTTGACACTTCATGTAATTTTATATTGGGGTGACAACAACACACATTTTATGTTTTAAAGAATCCTTTAAGAAAGGATAAAGTTTGTTTTCTAGAATATTATATGTGATAGCAAAAAAAGAAGAGATAACGCTTCCTGGTTGCCATCATTTCAGGATAAAAAATAAAATGATAAAAAAAAATTAAAATTAAAAAAGATTTTTAAAAAATACACGTGACATTAAAATGACGCGTAGCGAAATTGCTCAAGATCCATATTCATTTGTTACTCAGTAATTTCACCTGGACTTATCTAATGATTCTATTTACTAGAAATTTTGCATTTAACATTTTACATTTGTTTTACTGATTATTGATATAATGTTGACCAATTTTCATGAAAATATCTTTGTCCTTTATGAAATAAAAGTAAATATCTTCCGAACAGCCCTCATAATTCTTTGGAAATAATTATATTTTACCTGTATCACATTCAATGCCCAGTAACTTGAAAATTTTCTTTCCCCACTTTAGAGTTTCCTTTTTACATAAAATATCATCATAATGTTACTTGCTTTCTATCCATATCATTTATTTTTAATAGTTTAAATGTAGACACGACATTTTGCAAAATCCCTTATGGTACATAAACTTGATTGTAAAGATTTTTCACTGCCATGCGATATATGAGCATGAAGTGTCATCAACAAGCATAGAAATTTTCTTTTCCCCATCAATGAAATGCCTTTGATATTCTTATTTCTTATTTTAAAAGCAAGGAATTCAACACAGATCAAGACGGTGATAGTGAATGTTACTGTTATATGTCCTTACTGATTTACATCTGTTGTAATATTTGAATAAAATAAATTGGCCCGTTGCCTTATAGACATTCCAAAATTTAAAAAAAAAAAAGCAATTGTGTGAAGTTTAATAAACGACAAATACACAGAATTAAATGCTTTCTCATAATCAATAAGGAGAAGAAGACATGGATTTTTTTTTCTTCAGTATATTGCATGATTTCATATAAAATACTGAGGGAACGAACAGTGTTCAAGCTCAAGTCCATTAAAACAATACAAATCGAGAGCAGAGCAAACACGGGCCTCCAAAATCATCAGATATGGGATAAAAGTCTAATATTTTCAGCTGTTTTCTACCTTGCATAGAGCCAGTTTGGTCTAGATAAATTATTTATATAAATACATTTTAATTCTATTTTTAAGTGAACCCGATGCAATTCTATTGAGTGTGTTTAAAAAAGATATTTGTTTCCAGTTTTTAGAAAGTGTTTTGATTTGTCTTCCTTGGGTAAGCAGGTATACGTAATCATATCTTGTTTCTGTGTTACACTTAAAATGTCACGTTCATATGCATGATTTAATGATCGGACAATAGTCACCAAATATTTTTTTTAAAAAGTTTGAAAATCTGCGGTAAAGCCATCAGAACCGGGTGATCTATATGATTCCATCCCAAAGTGTTTCTGCTGCTTCCTTCGATGTGATTAGACCTTAATTCCAATGACCTTGACTTAATGTTTGAAAATTTATTTCTCCTCGAAAGTTAACATTTCCAACAGCATCATCTAAATTTCGATACAAATTTTCTTAATATTATTTGGTTGTTTTCAAATTGTTGTAAACAGTATTTCCATTTCCAAATTTAATTTTTGGAATACACAGCACAGTTAAGGCTGCAGTAAGGAGGCGGGTCCTAATTTATACGGGAACTGCTTACTATGACATCACACAAAAATATAAGTTCTTCAAATTACCACAAAATGAAATGATTTGCCATTTTAAACTGTTGAATAGCTTTAAACTACATCAATACTAACTTGGGCATGTATTATTGTCGTTGGTTAAATCCCACACGGCAATATATAAACAATTCACTGATCGCAATGCACTTGTCAATGTGACGTCATATCGTAAAATTTGACGCAGTTTGTATGCAGTGAGAGGCGGATCAAGTTATATTTATACAATGAAAAATGTATTTTGTAATTAAATAAAATATAAACTGTAGATATATAAGAGGCCATTAACTTGGATGCGATGTTCTATTTTATGATTTTATTCATATATTTCCCCTACATTCCCTAGACAAGCGATACTGTCGTATATTTCTATGCAGATTCATTGAAGGGTAATAGAAGGGTCGTAATAAATCGATATATTGCAAGGGCATACCCTCAATGAATTATGACAAGCTTTTACACATAAACTCAAGAAGTATGAAGATATTTGAAAAGTGCTGCGAACTTGTTGAAATCTTGCAAATGAATTAATTATATCTATATTTAATGTACTTGATCAGCAAAATATTCAACATATGGTCTAACAAATGTAATTTTAGCAATTAGATAGTAGAATCTATATAGGTTCGCAGCACTTTTCACAAACTACAAAGAGTGTTGAAAATAATTATATGTTAAACTTAGATTTTTAACTTGGTTATGCCCTTGCAATATTAGAATTTATAGATGACCTCAATACTTCGGGTCTATTTGCTAAAATCACGTGACTGCCACATCACGTGACAAGTCTAAATAAGAAATCTAATCGTCCTCAACATGTAGTTTTCAACTACATTGCATTTGTCCGATAATAGTAAAGTCCTAAAAAGAAACGCCCGTCCTTGTAAAGAATGTATTTTCTATCTAAAAAATTCGCCGATATTTCCATTTGGCACCTTAACTGTACTGCGTAATTTTATTTAAGGTATTTTCCCACTGTGGGACGTGGAGACCGGTCCTTCGGATGAGACCGTATAAACCGAGGTCCCGTGTCGCAGTAGGTGTTGGCACGAAAAAGATCCCTCACTGCTCAATGGCCGTAAGTGCCGAGTATAGGTCAAAATTTGTAGCTCTCCACCGGCAAGTGGTAGCGTCTCCATATGAGTGAAAAATTCTCGAGAGGAACGTTAAACAACATACAAACAAACAAACAAACTTAAGGTATTTAACTTATAACGACCATATTTTGTACCTAATAAATGAATGGTCTGATATTTTTAATCATGGTAGCATATTGAAGGTGTTATCAAATAAAAATATTCAACCAAAGGAAATTACAAAATTTTTATTATTTTCCAATTAATTGCACCTTCAATTTTACATTGAAGCATATGGGCAGCGCATATGGCATTTGGATATTGTAAAAAGTAATTTGAAATTCATACAAATCTCTTGGTGAAAATATGCACAAACTTTCTCTTTATTAAAATATGAAATAAAAAGAATAATTTACCACAGATATTTTGACAAAATAAAAATTTTCTTCTTTTTCATCAAAGGCAGCTAACTCTTCAAAAACATTTAATGTGCAAAATGGCCAGCTTCTTATATATAATCAGTCATGTGAATTTGGTTCATTTCACTTTCATCGTTATCTAGCAATAAATATTTAACTAGTTTTAAATGATTCAAAATTGATCAATATCTCTTCGTTATACATCGAATACCTTAACAATTCTTTTTTTCAAGGATTTTAAATTATTGTTATAACAATATTTCTTGTAAAGGTATACACGTGTTTATTTTTTAATAATATGAGTGTACATGTTTATTTACGTATTTTCTTCCTTTCCATAGATAATCCAAAAGTAACATTGTATATGCAAATATAAACGAGAAGAATAAAGGGATTTTTACAAATTAAATTCCAGTGGTTTGTCCTTCAATTATATTACATTTTGTGTATAAAAAATTGCCCTTTTGTTACTCTTCTTTATGAACATTTGGATTCAGAGAAAATCCTATATTTTTTTTTACTATATCAGTCCATCCATCTGAAAGCTGCTATGCATTCTGTTAGTATAATCCTTAACATTTTTTGCAAAAAAGCCAGGGCCATTTTGGGCCTTTTTGGCCCTGTAAATTTCTGAAAAATCATAACTGCATAGTTTTAGTCGACAAAGCAATAAATATTACTTATAATAAAACCTTGGTGACTGGATATATATACATACTGAAAAAGACGTAATTTTCTTGCTAGTCAATGCATTATGACGTCATGAATTGCGACATTATCGTCATACCATGAATATTTCTTCAAAAATGGCCAAAAGATTATGCTATTTTTCAATGTCTCGTCTACAGCAAAATCTCTGATATAAAGTGTGGAAATAAATTGGTATATTTGCAGGGGCATTTTATACATAAAGTGAACCTAGCTCTTTCATACCTTTTATTTAGCATATATGAGAATTTTACAAAATGAAAGTCAGTCAAGAGACCAATTTCCCATAAATATACTAAGGTTTATCTGCTTGTCTGAATGAAGATAAATCACAGTATGAATGTCACTGTGTAACGGACAAGTTTTCTTTGTCAGTATTTTTCATAGATTGATTAAGAGTTAGAATCTCCAGAGATAAATATTTTATTGAACTAGTCCTGTTACCTTCTTTCAATAACGTATTTCTATTTTCATTATGATTGTGAAATTGTCAGATGAAATTTTCGTAAATAATTCTTGAAAATCTATGTAAAGACAGTTCAGTCATTTTATTATGATTATTAAAAAGGCCTACAGGGCATTATGCATTATAAGAATGAATTGATGAATGAACACTGAAGAAAACATGATGTCAATAATAGAATCTGATTATTTTATGTTTTCTAATAAATCGCCAATTGCATTTCAGATTCTGCAATGTACTACATTAAAGGTCTAAAGTTAAATAACTGTACCATTTTTTAAAATAAAGATTTATTCAATATAACCCTGATCTCTTTTGAGGACACGTAAAACAGGATATGTCATTTCCTTCAGTTTCATATGAAATATGTAAATCCAAATTGAATACGAAACTTCAAAGTCAAAGACGTGTATATCACGTTTCAAGAGAACATTTATATCCGTCTTTGAAAAGAACATATCTTAGCTCTTGATAACCTGTCAAAAATCAGACATCTATTGGTTAGAAAAAAATTGAGTCAGTGAAGAAGGGCTTGTAAAAGAGGTTTGTTAGTCCAGATTTCCCCAGAGTATCAAGAATCTGAAATCCTGTCAGCATGTCTTTCCATTCCTGAATCCTCACAAAAAAGTCCATGCAGGCAACATACGGTAAGTAATATTGTTCATTTCCAAATATTTTTTATTCATTATGAATTTAAAGATCGCAGATCATCTTTTCAAAAACTTTGAAATAACATGAAAAAGACACTTTGTCTATAACTGACATTTGATGGCAAAGAATTCAAGCATAGGATTCTTAAATGATGTTTGAGAGGGTTTTTTTATAACAAATATTATTTTAAAATTTTGTGAAAAAAATCCATATCCCTTCATGGGAAATATTTGAAAAAAAAATTAATATGAAAAGAAATTTAACTCAAATAAAAATCTATGAAATTGAATTCCACAGCATTGATATTTCAAATAGATAATGAAGCACCTTAATCTTTGTTGTCCATCCACCTACAAACATGCTATTGCTATCCGAATCAACGGAGATACATACATTTTCATGCATGTTTTATTCATTCTCCTGTTGGCACATCAAATGCTCTCGTCGGTAGACAATTTTAGTACTAATATTTGCTGTCTTTTCGCGACTGAATTCGCGAAGAAACAAAGAAATGAATTGAACAACCCTCAACTCCTCTGAATCACTAGTATACATAAAAGGTGGTATTTATTTCATTAAATGAAATTTGATGTAAGTTTAATTATAAATAAAAATGCAATTAATGGATATCAAATATACTTGTTAAACAAAAATTAGAATGTTTCCAATATATACTGTGAATAAAGTATGATCTAACCAATCAAAACACATATACGTATTCAGTTATAAATAAAGAATTCTAAGTCTATAGAATCTGATAATAATAGTACCGGTAATGAAAAGTTATAGTTTTAAATAATCTTTTTTATCCACAAAAGGTCAATTAAACACCTACATTGTATATTAAAGGGCAGAGCAGTTTCCGGTAGGCTACACAATCAAACATTTAATCTTTACATTTAATTCAGATGACTAAAGTAACAGAAAACTTGCGAATTGAAGAAAAAATATATGCGCAGTTCAGAGTCGTTAAATGCTATTTTGGATGGATCTATTGTTATTTTTCAACATTGTATTATTTAATACCTGATTGCGATACATGTACACGTATAATGTATGGCTCACAGTGCTGATGCAATTGTAGATCCATGGTTAACTATTTTAAAGCTAAGTAATTAGTTAGCGTTAAGGATTTCATTTTCAATTACCTGGACCTGGTACCTTTACATTCATACGTTAAATCCAGCGAGGATCCAGCGAGGGTATGCAAGATCAGTGATTTTGCAAGCCAAATAAGGGGCCCTAATTAGAGTAATTTCCATGAAACATGTGGTCTTAATTTTAAAATTTCCAGAGACATCATAATTTGGCGAAGAAGGAACAAGGCATTCATTTGGCAGGCATTTTCTCAAAGATATTTATGCAATGTAACAGAGTATATTTCCCTATTTAAGACCTACTCAAAATGGTTTTACCTCGAACACATTTGTTTATAAGCAGAAAAAATGACATTTCCTGAAAACACGTATTATCTAGGATATAGATATTTTTCTTTTATTTGCTTCTTAAAAACACAAATAAATCTTCATATATAATTTTCATGTTTTTGGTTTTGTTTTCTTTTTTCCTTTGCAAGTGATTCGTTTCTCATATATAGAGGATTGCCGAGTTGGAAGAATGACTAAAATTTGCAAAAAATGTTACCTCGTCATAATTTGCAATATTAATAACGTCTTTTTTCTTCCTCTAGAAAAGTGCATTATCTTGAAGAAGGTCATCAATGGTTAAAAAACTATGTAAGTATTTGTCTCGCGTGGAATTAATTTATTCTATTTACAGGGTTATAATATCTTAGGTGAATTTTGTCACAGGGTTCGTAAAAAATTATTTAAGACATATAATGACAATCCAAGAAATTCGAGTAATTTTTTTACATGTAGATTGAACAAAAATTGTTTTTTCTGCAGAGGTATGACCCCGTTGAAAAAAGTACGTTTAAAGTATACTATTTTTTCTTCGTATTAACGTCTTAGAAATTTCATCAATATTTCAAAGGCTCCAGGCTACGATTTATATGTTAATTTCATTAATATATGCATGCTTTTAAGTTCTGGCTTCATATTTATTCTTTGATTTTGTTCTAAATGATAAAAAAGCAGATATGCAATTGGTTTATTGAATTCTATTATCTGACATGAATATTTAAAGAAAACATTTCAGTGCATTAAACTATTTTATACATTCATAAATACTACAGGGCTACATGATTTTTATGTAATTAAAATGTGTTTCTATGCAAAATAAACCGAACATTGTATATATATATATATATATATATATATATATATATATATATATATATATATATATATATATATATATATATATATATATATATATATATATAAAATAAAAATCCAAAAAATCACAAAATATTTTCTGCAAGCGCTTTCGCCATGTTAGGCTCTTCAGGCAGTTATACAAATGTCAGGTAGGTTACCTGGTAACGTCCAAAAGCAAAAGTTCATTGTGACGTCATAATAGATCAAGGTAGCGTAAAGTTGCCGTATTAGATAATGTACAAATATTGCATTAACTTGAACACATAATATGCATAAAATCTTACAATATGTTATATAATAATGTATCATTTTCGATTAAGCTTTGGTTTAAAGAGTTTGATAAAGTAGTCCTCTTTTGCCAAACGTAGATTTTCATTTTCATTGGGAAGTTTATAAAAAGGGAAAATCTTAAATATTCCTTTGCCGCATTTTGCAAAATGTTCACAACATGGTGTATTACGCACACTAGGGTCTTTAATTTGTTGCTTGTGTACACGAACCCGGGCATTTAGTTTCCCCGTTTGTCCAATATAGAATTCTTTGCATGTCGGACAGATTGCACAGTAGATAACGTTTTCGGATTTACAGTTCATTGGTGAATTGGTTCTAATTTCCATTCCTGATTTAAGTTGGATTCTATTTCCCTCTTCTAAATATGTACACGTTCCGCATCTTGGATCTCCGCATTTTTTAATGGTTGGAATTTCCTCCTGTGTAGTAAAACGGGCCTTGGTTAACAATTTTTTAAGATTGGGTGCCTGTCGTCGACTATTGATAATATCATTTGGTTGTATTAAACTTTTCATATTTTCCGATTGTTCTAAAATTGGGTAGAATCTTTTAGCGTCCATAAGGATATTTCTGTTTCGTGGGTTATGGGTCACAACAAAGGCTATTTTCCCGTCATCGGTGGTGTCATCTACACGACGTGGATTTCTAAGGTTCTCTATTGGAATTTTGGACGCCTTGTCTATTCCAGCGTTGATTAAATCAATTGGATAGTTTTGTCGTCGTAGATATATTTTTAATTCCTCCAAACGTCTAGAACGCAGGGTTCTATCTGTAATAATTGTACAAATTCTTCGTGCTAAATTAAACGGGATATTACGTTTTGTGTGGGATGGATGGCACGATCTAAAATCCAAATACTGATGCGTGTCCGTAGGTTTACAGTATAAGTCTGTAGTTATACAGGATCCATTCTTTATAATAAGAAGATCTAAAAATGGAAGTTCCGCACGACTTTTTTCTATTGTAAATTGTATAGAATCATGGAGGTTATTAAGAAGTGAATGAATAAATTCCATTTATTTAGTTACGCTATTTTGAGAGAATAAGACAATGTACGATTTTCTGTTGGCCGTAATTAATTAGCAATAATTAATTCGTTCAATTATGTAAATCACACTTCACCAGACTACACCCGATAAACCGGACGCAATTCATAGCGCTCCGGATTTCTTTGTTCACAACTGTTTATAAACTCCAAATTAAACATGTAACATTGTAAATATTTAGTGTTTGGTAGTTTAGTAGTAGTGCTAGTTGTTTTTGCTTCTCTATTTCCTTTGTTTTTATGACTTCTTAACTTTTTTCTTTGTCCTGAGGAAGGGACAGGTTGTCCCGAAAATTTGACAATTATTATTGTTCGTGTCGTTGGTCATTTTTAGTGCTTTATATAAATTTCCATCCGTGACCTTGTATCTACTTAGTAGATCCGACACTAAGGATATACAGTGTTGTTGGTTTTTAGTGCTTTATATATATATATATATATATTTACATTTGCAATTGTTTTCTTTTATATAACACTATTAAAAGCAACGCGTATCTATATCCGTATAAACACGGGTTCCTCGCGTCATAAACGTTCGACGTAATTTCTCGTGCCGTTGAGTTTGAAAAAGTATAACATTTCACGCGTTAAAGGTTATAATCAGACTAATATATAATATGAATAAGTCACAGATGTAAATATAAGTAATAAGGTATCATTTTAAAACATCTATCGGGATATAAATACGGGTTGGTACGAGATCAAATTTACCATAAAGCCCTTCGGGCTTTATGGAATTTGATCTCGTGACCAACCCGTATTTATATCCCGATAGATGTTTAAAAATGATACCTTATTTCATATATATATATATATATATATATATATATATATATATATATATATATATATATATATATATATATATATATATATATATATATATATATATATCCCTTTTTGGACAAGTTAAAGTGAAAAGATATTAATTAATTTGGATTTTAACATCATTTCATATATAAGTATTCTACCTACTAAAAAAGATCGATCACTATTCGTAATTTCACTTTTTCATTTATTTTGCTGTTGTTGTTGTAGGCAGAATGACAGAGATCGCTGATTTCTTTACATTCCTGTTGAAAACTAATGATAAGAATGAATGCTTTGACACAGCGTTGATTTTTTTGCAACATAAGGAAATATATATTAGTAAAACATAAACTATTTAATGATATTGTAATATCGATAGTACTTTATGTAGTCTGAGTAACATTTTAAATTAAATAGAAACATTTCTGTATAGACCAGGATATTACTTACAATTACCTAAATTGATATTGTAAAGGTTTCAATGATAAATACAACCAGTAAAGTCCCGCTCATTGAAATGAGAAATACCCGTGTCATTCTGATATTATACACAATTTTTTTACGGATTTACCCCCGTTTTTTTCCGATTATGACAAGGAGCATACGGCGGGTGTAACCGGTCGGCAGGGGATGCTCACTCCTCCATGACATCTGATCCCACCTGGTGTTTTTGGAGGTCCGTGTTTGCTCTGCTCACGATTTGTATTGTCTCAATGGACTTTGAACTTGAATACTGTTTGTTATCCCCATATTTCACGATATAAATATTAGTATGAATCAGTCCATGACTGTTTGCACGAAATAAAAGATTCATAAAGGACAATAAATTAAATGCACTGCCTCTCAGTTTGAAATAGTTTTGCTCTGCGTTTCAATGTAAAGATTGATTGAATGATTGTATGTTGTTTTACGTCCCGTTCGAGATTTTTTCCTCATAAAAGACGTCACCATGTACTGTTGAAGGATTTCAAATTTAGACCTTTACTCGGCATTAAGGGCCATTTAGCAGCGAGGGTTCTTTATCGTGCTAACGCCTACCGTGACGCGAGTCCTCGGCTTTTAAGGTATCATCAGAATGAGCCGCGACTTTCACTTCAAATTGAATTGCCGAGCGCTTGGCGAAGGAACAGTTGCTACCTATTTTTTATCGACTTAGGAGAGTCGCGGCCGTGATCCGAACACATGACCTCCCGACCACGGAGCTCTACCGACTGAGCTTTGGTTACGGTCTTAATGTAAAGAAAGACAAATCAAATTAAAGAGATATAATTTTCAAAATGTTATTACAGACAATTTGTATTCAGACGACTATCTCAGCTGCCTTTTGCTTATTATAGTATTTTGGTCGGTTTTCAAGAGAAATATGATTTTTGCTCCTAAGGTAGGAGTTAGCCTCATTTGTCTGACGCTATTTTCAGCCTGACTGAATTTTCAGTCCCCCTTATACTTTGTGCTTACTGTAGGAAATCTTTGATTCAATGATTAATATATCTGTTCAAACCGTGTCCTTTTGCAAATTGTTCCTTTGTTTGAAAATTGATGTAAAATACCGACATCCTTACAACCAGAATGTCTTAATCAAATTAGAACCCGACATTCTTAATGAATTAGCATTTGGTCAATTACATATCATAACTAATCAAGAACGTTTCACTGTATTCAAAGCATTTTTATTTGTTTTTCACTTTGACAAATGTTTACAATAAATTTTAAACGTCTTGTCAAGAATTACGTCTTCAGTAAATTTCAGAAATTCCTCGGCCGATTTATAAGGAAAAAATACACTGTATGATCCCTGTAAACCAACAAAACCTCAAGCGTATATATCCATGTAAAATTACTGGTAAACTTTATATAAATAAATATAGAATAGCTACAGCTGAGGCATTTAATTTTGAGTGAAAATTGAAGAAAAACTTAACATAAGCAATGCTGAATACATGTATAATATTTAGCCCCATTTTCATTCTTTAGAGTTATCTTTAAAATTATTTAAAACAAATGTTTTACAAAGAATATCGCATGATAAAGCGTTGTGCTTATATAAACTCCAAATTGGCATTAGCTGTAAATGTGATGATATTATTTTTATAATTTTTTAAAATATTTTTTTTTCTCAAAAACTCTTAGTTTGATAGGAAAAATATTAATGGAACAAATGGCTCTGGTCATATAGGTACTTGGTCAGTAACCGAAAGGTCACTGGTAGAAGTACCACTGTGGACACTTTTCTTGTTTTTTTTTTTTTTTTTTTTTTTTTTTTTTTTTTTTTGTCATTATCTGATTGTCTCGTTCAACCAAGCTCAAATGCTTACCAGCTTACGGTTAGAGCTAATCTGTGATTGATTGGTGATCAAACATGTAAATAGCTTGCAAGCCAAAAATTATTCAAACACAAGAAAATAAATATATAATAATAATTTATTTATTATAGTGACTTGTGTAATACATCATGAAATACTAAAGTATAAAAAAGACAAGTACTTTACACCCGGCCCTATGGACCTATAAGTCACCTGGATAAAAATCTTACATTTCCCCTCACGGACTATAATTATGTATGTACATTGTGTAAATCGTTAACATTTATTTTGCTCTTGAGGATAAAATAGTATGTCTATCGAAATAACATTTTTCACTACTGTCACAGACCGAAGTCCATATCCACTGATAGTTTGGTGAAACAGCATTTGTCCATCGTAAGACACTTTTGTTCCAGTACCGAACCATATTCGTCCAGCGTCGATAATGACTAGAAATGCTCTTGTTGGCCATGCACAATATATATGTGCAATTTGTTGAGTTAAATCTGTATCTAATCATTATGTTATTATTTAAGATGTGTATAATATTCAACATTTTTCATAGAATTTTCATAGAAAGGCATTGAGAGTAGAGGAGAGAGAAAAAAGCAATGTCCACTCAATCATTTATATTTCTTCTTTTTCAAATTATCCGCAATTCAGACAATTTTATTCAATATTATTTTATGAAATTTGTAATTACCAAGATTATTCTTGTCTTTAAAATATTGTTTTGAATAAATTAAGGTTTCCTTTTTTCTGAAAAAAAAACCCAACATAGATATCTGAAAGTATCTATTCAAAACAAGAAAGCTCAATGATTAATTTTGAATTAAATTTTGTTTTAAGATTTTGTGGAATCTTCTTATGAGTTTATTTTTCAAACTCGGTAATTTTTTTTGAAAAAAAATCTATGTCATATATCTATAATTTGTCCCCAGCTGAAAGTGGGGGATATTAATTTGGGTCAGTCTGTCCTTTCGTCCGTCTAGCTGCCTGTCTGTCTATATATTTCCGTTTGTCTGTAACACTTCGTTTCCGGGCGATGTCTCTTTTGCAATGAAATATAGCTTTTGCAAATGAAATTCCTTATCACAACTTCCTATGGTCTGAAGAAGATCCCAACCCTACTGATTTTGAGGTGAAAAGGTCAAAGGTCAAGGTAATACATGTAAATCCATAAAGTGTGTCTGTGTGTAACACTTTCGTTTCCGCGCGATATCTCGAGAAGCTTTTGAGCTCTACAATGAAATTTTATACCACAACCCCTTATTGCCTAAGAAAGACCCCTATTGATTTTGGATTCAAAAGGTCAAAGGTCGACGTCATAAATCCATACATTCTGTTGAGCTTTTGCAATAAATTTATGCCATAACTCCTTATGGCCCCGCATGTTCCTCTCAAAGTGTCCCATACCGTTGTTTGTTTTTTTTTATTTTGGTCATTTGGGGGGGGGGGGGGGTGTCATCAAAAGTCTTGTAAATTCGAAAGTTTTAGAGTTACTCCCCATGTGGAGCGCAAAGAGCTGAGTTTATAACATAAAATAAAGGTTTGTCGGCGGACGTTACATGGTAATTCTATAAGAACTGTTTAGTAGAGGCTAAATTAGATACCACGTGTCACAATATCGAACATGTTAAGAATGAAAAATAATACCTGATAAGAACAGTGGAAATCTGACAATTTCAGACAAAGTACAAGTATTGAAAATATATATTTAGAAAAGGCCAACGAGAAGCTTAAATGGTGTATAACACGTAAAGCACAAAGTATTTGGATCTGAGCCCAAGTTTATACAAGCGGTTATGGTGGCGTGTACAAACGTTCTCATAAGATCATTATTACAGTGTGATAAATATTTTGTATAAAATGAATTTTATGTTCACATTTTCAAGTGTAAGCAATCATATATATTTTGCATAAGAATATCGTTATGTAGATGTTTACAGAAATAGAAAATCTGCCCCCAATTTTTAAACAAGTTAGAATCATAGAAGTCTAAACTTTAAGTTTATGTGGCATTTAGGTAAAAATCTGAAAGGTCAATGTTGACATTTTTCTTTATCCATTTGCAAAATGTTTCCATTTCTTCCAGCCTCTTCTATTTTCCTTAAGCAGGGGACACAAATTCTCTGAATTATCTTGTTATTTCTTATAATCTTTGAATTAAAACATGAACAAATGCAAATCGTATCTTTAAATGTAAAACAATATTATCACAGATAATTCAATTTATGCCGCTATGAGAAATCTGGTAAACTTTACACCGTCGGATAGTTACGGATTTTTAAACCCAATCAAATTCTTTGTTTCTGTTGTGCCATTTCTGCAAAGCCTGTTTAGTGCAGTGAAAAATAAATGCGTTTATTTATTCCATAGTTTTTGTTTTAAATTTAATGATCTGCAATTGGAAAAGTTTATCACTATATACAGAAAAATAAAAATATGTAACGCTTGTTTCTGATATAATTTTTCTTGCAGAGAGCATGGAGAGGAGGACTACACGTTATACAGTGTACACATTCTTCTGATGTCTTTAATCCACACCTAGGCTGCATTTCTCTGATTAAACTTTCCAACGATGTCAACAAATTCGCAAAGCCATCTTCTGCGTCGTTTTTCTTCATTTATGATTGCTGGCGATTGATGTCTTCCATCCATTCATATAATTTCATCTTCAGTTCAAGTTGCTGAGAATAACATGGATAAAAAGAATTAAAAAATAATTTAAAATATAAATTTAAAAACCTTTAAAAATACATGTGTATGTCGGACTTTTATTATTTGCGTTAATTTGTTTTTATACCAGCCCTGTGCATCGAACATTTCTGATCTTCAAATACAGTTAACATTTTCTGGTTTGCATTCGCCTTTGCTTTTGAAATACCAGTAGGCACAGATAATAATAAACTAAGAGTCTTCTGTGCATTAACGTTCAAATGTTTCATCATAGCGGTTTTAATTTAAAGAATAAAGTAAAATTGAATATATTATATAATATTGAGTATATAATATTAACAGCTTTTACTAGTGCAATTCTTCAAAGACATTACATTTGTCTTTTGTCGTCGTCTTTTGAAAAACCGTTTTCTATTAAGGTAGTATGGGATACCTCTACGTTATGACGTATTTCCGTTTGAAGTATTGTTTTGATTTGCATGAGTGCTTATTATCGGGTCAAAATTTGTAGATACACCGTTGAAAAGAACACTCTGAAGCCTATTTCAATGCAATTTCTCACAAGTCGGCATTTTAAGTAAAAACAGACAAAAAAATCGCAAGTATATAAATTTACTTATAATTGTACAACGGACATTTAAAAAAGCAAACCCCTGTAAAAGGTAGTTTCAACATTGCTGCTTTTGAACACTTTTAAGCAAAAGCTGTATTTCAATTGTTTGAGTAACTGTACAGCACCTTGTGTGCGGTGAGGCATGGATAAGTGCGATTACTTCACATTGTGCTGAATTATCACCAATCAATTATCACGTTAACCAGAGCTGGACTTTTTTGTTATTTAATTCAAGAAGTAACTGTTTGGTCACAAATCAGCTAGCTGTTGTATATAGTCCCAAAACGTTCAGATGAATGCAATTGCTCTGAACAAGACACGTCCTGGAAAGCGATTGTCCATGCATTGTTTTCAAAACCGCTCAAAGTTGAAAACTACAAAGTGCGACTTTTTTATGGTTGGGAAAAAATGCTCATCATTTCTAAAATAGCACCCAGGTTTTTTCAACCCTTGGAAAATAAAGAAGGATAACTCTTCCGCTCGGATCTTTTAATTCAAAAAATTTTAAATGCATTTTATATCTTCCATTTATATATATATTTTCAATTTGTTTATTTCACTTTGCTAACATATTAAGATACATTCTTATTGTAGACTTTCATGAAATGTTATCCGTCTGTTTTCAAGAAATAAAGTTTTCCCAGTTTTTTACGCTTATTTTTTGTTGAAAATTAAAAAAATACTAAGACATATTTCTTGTCATTTTTGTTTTTATAAACACTTTATATTAGCAAAGCCTGCCTATGATATTAAGCTTATGAAAAAAGAATTATGCAAGAAAAAAAATCGTTTTTGTATTTCTCATTAAAATAATAAAAAAATTATTAAAATTACACTTTAATATACTGAAAGGTGGGGGTATTTCAAATCCTTCTAATTTGGGTACATAAATATGTAGGAGAAGTTTCGTTTGGTATCCCATACCACCTTAAGACCTAAATTTTATCATAGGGGGTCAATTCAAAGCTTAAAACATGTTGACATAACAAAAAAATTTAAGCTACCTGGAATCCAACACTATATGTTTGTTTTTTGTTTTATATTATTTTTGTATTATAGTATTTTTGTCATATTTCTTCATTTTTCCCCAACTTTACAGTTTTGTTGAGATTATGATAAAAGATGGGTTTTTTTTTATTTAGAAAAGTTAAATTTCCTAAATGTTTCAAATAAATATTTTACGAAAATATACCTTATTTAATTATCAGGTAATATTCCATTTCCAATTAAATCATATATTGTATGAAGCACCCCTGTCATCAGCTGGATCCTATTATTTTTGGAGCGATGTATACATTATCCAAGATTTAGTATTATTTTAATGAACATCATTAAGTATTACGATAACCTAAGTGAATTTAAGATGATTATGAAAACGGGTGTTTAGTTTTGTTTTTTTTAATTTCGGTAAACCACTTAATTGCGATTCTTTTCCACAAGATTGTTTTGTGAGTCGATTCATAATTGCAGTCTTATAATTGAGTTCAATATTTTGTATGGAAAGCTGTAGGATATATCTACATTTTTATTATTTTTGCCTATATAAGAAACCAAAAATAAAATATCTCACCCAAAAAAAAAAATCTTGCCTTTTTACAACATTGTTATTTTCTTGCATCAATTATACCGGTTATCCTACCTCTTCAATGTATACATATTATTTTTATTTTGCCCTAAAATTCCAATAATTATATCCTGTCTTGAAATACTTGACAATTATTATATTGTCAACAATTATAATCTTGTCAGTCGATGTGTATAATGGATATACATAGACTGACGAGATTTAATTGTTGACAAGATTATAATTTTCCAGAAAGGATATACTTAGGGATACCCTGTGGCTTTCTATAGTTTTGAATAAATTATGTAAGGTATTTTCAAAACGAGGTTATTTTTTTATTTGGAGTAAATGTTGTACGAGAGTTTTTTTTTTTTTTTTTTTTTTTTTTTTTTTTTTTTTTTTTTTTTTTTGTTATTATTAAACAAACCACATTTATTTGTGAACATTTATCTATATTATATGACTATTTTATATATGTACACAAAAATCTGTAATGGACAAAATAGTTAAAGATAACAAATAAGCATTGTACTTCCTCGGCTAAGAAGAGACGATTTTGGTTTTCCGAGGTTAAACACACAAGTTTCAGGTCCAGGTGCTGCGTTATTTTTTTTTTATTATACCTCTGTGAATTTTTTCTATATAAAAATATGACGAATAAACATGCTATTTTTTCCAAACAGCCCCTACCATGAAATAGTCATTAAACTATTCACCGGCAGCATTCTGTTTCCCTCGCTTTTCATCTCGGAACTCTTCTGGTTTTATCCAGATTGTGACGTAACACAAGTAAAAACTGCTTCGGTATAATAAAACACCTATTTACTGGCTATGGGGACAATAGCAAGTTTATCGTCCCCCTCGACAGCAACTATTTCCCTCGGCTGCGCCTCGGGAAATAGTTGCTGTCCTGGGGAACGATAAACTTGCTATTGTCCCCATAGCCAGTAAATAGGTGTATTATATATATATATATATATATATATATATATATATATATATATATATATATATATATATATATATATATATATATATATATATATAATCCGGACTTCTTGGTTAGGGAACCCAGTTAAGCATTTATATATCGGTCTGGGACCCCGATGGATTAAGCAGACTTTTTCCGGTCTCCCTAATATTTTAACTGATCATTAAGGCAGTGTACTTTGTGGTAAGATGACTGATGTCCTGAAATAAGACTCTTTCGTAATTATTTTTTTCAATGCAATTATAATTTCTGCATTTTTTATTCGCATAGCGAGAAATAATTAAATTATTTATAACCCGGCATATATTTTCATAGGAATATATATATCTATTAAGTCGCCCAGAGAAAATGTGTAATATTAATCAAAATCCGCTATATATGAATAGTTTTAATTAATATCCCATTTAGTTTAATCATTTCCTATATTTTCTTACCCTTCATTCATTCGTGAGTTCAGTATTTAAAATTTCGAAAATTCATGGTCTACAAATGACTCATGTTTGTCTGGCAATAAGTTGCCTGGTTACCGGTCGACCTGGAGAACCAGAAAAGAAGACGATGGCAGACGCCTCGAAGTGCTTTGGATCCTTTTTCGTAAGTATAAATCTGTTACTTACTATCATTTGCAGCTGTTTTTTTTATGTTTTATACGTCTTTTGTATATTATTTTCTCCTTTTTTATACGACGCGCTTGCATAGCGTCAATATTGACTAACAGCGAACGTCGAGGAAATTCTGAATACACATTTTTAATTTCTTTTCATTCATAATGATACATCTTTTTAAAAATCATCAAATATTTATTTTAATTAATTATTAAGTTTGTGGATGCTCATGGTTTGACGTTCGAAACATGGATATGATTGATGCATTATTTAAAGAAGCTGATAGTAAGCGCGGGGGGGGGGGGGTGTTCTTGTGTACGAGAATCTGAGATTTGTGTTTTGAGATACAATAACAAACGATTCTACAAAAATTAATGCAACAAAAACCACTTCCTTCCTTTTATGACACTCTTTAGTTTTGAACAATGAGTAAAATTTGGTTTAAGATTTGAACAAGACTTACAATGTCATATATTGTCAAAGACTACTTCTACAATTACATGTTCAAGAATTTAAGGTATTGCAGAGGTTTTTACTCTATTCTGCAGTTTTCAATGATGTAAACAGTTTCTGTCTATAATTTTAGATATTATAAGTAAAGATATGTTACTTTGTAGTAACAATAATTTGCAATGGCTATTAATTCATGTAATTTTCTAAGGTACTACATTTGATAATTTTTAGGTATAAATATTATTTTTTAATATTATGTCATAATCTGTTTTATCAGCATATATCATAACTATATTAATAACAATTCAAATATGAATCTGAGTCTTCAAGGTCTTTAAGTGTATAATTCCTTTTCACTGCCTATAAAGCATTAAAATAAAATTTGTTATGTTCCCCAGAAACATAATTTTAGGAGGTAAATCTATTATTCGTATTTTAAATTTAAAATCCTGGATGAATATGAAATTTCTATTACCGTAAAAAACTATTCTTAAAACAGTTTCTATATACCCCTTCCCCCTCATGTGTGCCAAAATTTAGTAAAGGTGAAATAATAATTTTTTTTTTGGTTAAATATTGCTTTTATTATACATAAAATATACATAACACAACTCACAAAACTGATTTAAAAAGGACCCAAATCCTGGGAGCTTAAAGGGGCTTTTGTCCTTTACCCACTGGGGCCACAAGGTGGCCCTCACTGGCTCAGACCCCATTATTAGCCTGTTGAACCCCCCTTTAAAAAATCCTGGGTCTACCAAAGATAATTTTGAAGTCTTTATATGAAATGATAAAATGTATTTATTAGCAAAAGAAAAAGGATATAAAACGGGGGTAGTGTACCACAACTACCCAATTTAAAAAAAGAAAAATCAATAAAATTTTAAATAGAAGATTTAAATGTCAAAAAAGCTTCAAGAT